AAGCCCACACAAGTCCTTGATACTGACCATCGACAAGACATTGGGAGTGTAATCCTTTGACGACAATACATCTTTATACTGGAGTAGATCAATATCTTCTTGGGTACGGAGCATGACAAGGCAGGCATGGAGCTCCTGGGACTTGGCAGGGATGGGGGAAGATGGTGGAGGGGAGGAATGAGGAGATAAAGAATGGTGGCGGCGGCGGGGGAGGAAGGAAGAATGATGGTAGAGCCCATGTGTACTAACATAAGTCTGAGCCTTGCACAATCATCAAAAGTGTCTTAAATGGGTCAGCAGATGATGACATATATGACCTCTGAGTAATACAAAAGTCTTGAGTAAATAAAAACAATAAACATTAAACTAATTAAAAAACCAGGCATCGTGCTTGCCATGCTAGGTATAGCAATGGCCTCTCCCCCCAAGTTAGATAGAACGTGAGAGCTGGCAACAAGAAGAGATCAGTCAAGTCGGTTGACAAGATAGCTGGACTCCGGGACATAACCGGGTAGCGAATTGGAAAGGAGTAATGGTTGACCAAAGTAACATCAGTTGAACGTGAGGGAGCCAATCGGAAATAATGTGGGAACGTAAAAGAAGTATGAGTTGGAAGAGACTAGAAGTAGTAGCCAAAGGGAGGTAGGAGAAACTTAAGACATTACTTGTGTTGGTTGTGGTTTTGGCAGAAGCTTGGGAGGCCACTGTGGCACAGCTTGGAGTACTCCTGGGTTAGGGTTAGGGTTATTTTGGAAAACCTCGTCTATGTGTGTGGTAGGCCATTATCCCCCTCTGAGCTTCTATTCCTGACAACTTGTACCATCCAGGTAAAAAGTGTAAGGTGATGTGTTTGAAGAGGAAAGAAGTGGAGAAAAGTAAAGGGGATTGTAAAGGGGAAAGGAACAGAAAAGGAAAAATGATATGTTCGTATGTATGCCCCTTACAGCTCCTCTTCAGAGTCATCCTCAAAAAAAACTTCCTGTTTATTACGAGATGAGGCTTAGCTCAATGTAGGGTAGGAGTGTGCCAGATCTGCAAGGACCAACTGGCGGAACAGAGAATTCCATGTGCTACACTCTAAATCACACCCAGACGTGAATACGCTGAGTATGAAAGGGAGGTGGGTGGGTCGAAAAAGAGGCTCAGAGGCCGTGTAGTCTCTGAAGATCCTGGTGGTCGAGGAAAGAAAGAGCGTGAGAACTTCGCTCGCCGCTCCAGATTATTTTCTCGATCGGCGTTGACTCGCTCCTGCCCGACAGACTTACTTAGCTCACGTAAGTGCTATTACCTCGTTCCTCGGCATCGCTCTGACACCCGCTAACTAATGGTCTTCTCCCTTCGTTCGCAAACGGAAGTTCTCGATGTCAACGTGGTGCTTCCGCGAAAGCACACTCTGTTGATAAGTAAAGTGTGAATGGGTGGGGAAGTACGGGCAGCAGGAGAGCGGCAAATCCCGTTCGGCAAATGAATCGGAGTTGACGTGTCAGAAGGATCTCCTGGTGCTCGGCTTCGAGCTGTAAACCTGCCTGGGTGAAGAACGAATCCACTTATGTGAACACGTGACACCCACACAAGCGAAGCTCACCCATCATGTGTTCCCATAGAACCAGGAAACCCACCCAGAGCAAGCAAACTGTGTCCTATTAATCAAGAAGACAAGTGAATTTATTTAGATAGACCAAGACGTAAACGAAAGGACTCCATCACATTAGAAATACGCGTGACCTCAAAGGAGAACAAAGCCTGTGAAATCAGAAGTGGCACTATTGTCTCGATACGCCTCCAATATTTCAGAAAGGCGTCAGACCTCCAGCGACCCTGCTTCGCGACAACCTCTGGGGGTACTCCTCGCAGCAGCAGCTCTGTCACCCCTCCAATCCTGAAGCTATGACCCCCACTGATCATGGTCAACCCCGCAACCCCCCATATCTCATTGCATCTGTTGAGAAAAGCCGGCTTCGTGAGAGGTTCCCACGAGTCGCCCTGCCGAAACGCGAAGAACGGAGCCGATTCCGGCAAGTCATGATTGACGCGAAGGTGATATTCCAAAGCGGTGAATGGGGAAGTCGCATCGGAAGAATGAACGATGGCAATGTCGGCGCCCGCATTTCCGGTGGTTTTGGAAAAAGGAATGTGTAGCGTGAAGAAAGGATCGCCATCCCGAGTCTCGCCACGGTGTAAATCAGCGGAACGAGAAGCGTGCTTGTGCGAGTCGAACGTCCCACGGGAAGGAATCAGCAACTCTCCGAGTCGACAACACGACCAAAAAGCGACAGAAGCTGCTGCCCAAACCGCGCAATCCTTTGTATTGGAGAAATCGAGGCGTACGAGTAGGGCTTGTAGATGTTCGTAAGTGACAGGGGGTCGTGGAGGGCGATGAGAAGAGGGTGGTGCGAGCTTTCGTACCCCGGTCAAGGCACGCCTGAGAAGATCACCGCCGTGCCAAGGTGCCCCGTGCACATCATGCCACAAATGCAAACCATCAACCCAATGTTGCGCTGACCCGACCTTTGCGGCACCCGAAGATACAAACGCAGCGAGGAGCGCGTCCGAAGCCGGCATCCTATCGAGCTCCGAAATCCCGAACTCGTCACAGTACTGAGTGAATCGAAGGAGGCCCGCCGCGTTCGTTACTCTGGTTTTGGGGTCCACGGAAGCCAAGATGACCTGTTGCATATGGTCAAAAGCGCGACCCGATAGAAAAGCGCGACCTTCGGCCTTGTATAGACTTGGGGGGAGAGGCCATTGCTATACCTAGCATGGCAAGCACGATGCCTGGTTTTTTAATTAGTTTAATGTTTATTGTTTTTATTTACTCAAGACTTTTGTATTACTCAGAGGTCATATATGTCATCATCTGCTGACCCATTTAAGACACTTTTGATGATTGTGCAAGGCTCAGACTTATGTTAGTACACATGGGCTCTACCATCATTCTTCCTTCCTCCCCCGCCGCCGCCACCATTCTTTATCTCCTCATTCCTCCCCTCCACCATCTTCCCCCATCCCTGCCAAGTCCCAGGAGCTCCATGCCTGCCTTGTCATGCTCCGTACCCAAGAAGATATTGATCTACTCCAGTATAAAGATGTATTGTCGTCAAAGGATTACACTCCCAATGTCTTGTCGATGGTCAGTATCAAGGACTTGTGTGGGCTTATAGGTACTGTGAAAGGTCGGATATTGAAGCTT